AAAAATCAGCCCCCAGGTAACGACGCACTGTCGTCGGCTGTCGCGGCCCCAATCAATGGGGCGGGGTGGGGGGCCTAAACAAGGCCGGGCAATGCGTTGTTCGTGTGCCTGGGCGCCATCAGGGCCGCGCAGGCCCCGGCCGCACGCTCGACTTCCGTGCATAAAGAATTTCCACATTTAATTCTCGCTCGTTTGGCCCGCGACCAAAAGGGACGATCAACAACAACAGAACGACCTGCCGCCGCGGCCACGGCCTGGCAACAAGCGGCCTCCGACAACATAACTTCAATTTCCGGCCAGCGCCATTATCAAATTCCCTCCGCTGAAACAATGACAATATTACCGAAAATGTATCGTGAAATTTAGGGTCCGCTGATAACGCCGCGCCCGCCCGCCCGCCGCGCCTGGGCCAACATTCTCGACACGCTGCCGCACTACACGCCAGCCAAATGTATGATAACGAGGTCTAATTATTTTCGGGACGAGCCGCCGCGCCGTGCGCGTATACACACGCGTGCCCCCCTCTTGCCCCCCTTTCCGCTCGCGAATTTCAATTGACCACCGTCCTGCACGAGACTGCCCCACCACCCGGTCCAGCCGGCCATCCACCTCCTTTTTTCCACGTTCCTTTGCGAATGTTGGCAGCGCTGAGAGGCTGGACTGTGGGGGCCGGGAGTGCAGCGTCACCTGTGCTCGCCGCCCCCCAATGAAATCACAGGTGCTGAGCCGCGATTCGAGATTACGGCAGATAACGGCCGTGACATCAGGCGCGCCGGCCGCGCCTCAAGGTGATGGTATGGCGGCGCGTCCCGAGCTGGCCGGCGCCGCGCGCCGCACATAACCTCAAAGCGAGGTCCGCGCGAACCTCAGCCAGCAACAGTTGTGGCTCTGTGTTGTGGGTGAACGGAACGCACGCCTCTCCGGCGCTCTTACATCACGCCGGAAACCTAAGTGTGTGAATGTCACACCCTTGCAGGTGTGTGAACGACATTCGTACCCATGGAGGCACAAGGGTGTGAATAGGGTATTTCACCTGAAGCAAACCGGATCCAAAGAAGAACAAGAGTTCTTCCTGAACTCTTTCCTCCTTGGCGCTCATTGGCCGATGCCGTCGAAGTTCTCGGACCCGACACTAGGGGTCGACCGCCCTTGCGGCCAGTTCATGAACTTCGTCGGCGTAAGCCAATCAGAGCAAGGGAGGAAAGAGTTCAGGAAGAGCTCTTGTTCTTCTTTGGATCCGGTTTGCGTCAGGTGAAATACCCTATTGAATTTTAAAAGGAAATACACACCTTCACTCCTTCAAATGTACGAATTAACACACCTGCAAAGTGAGCGGCGATCAACACACTTGCGTTTCCAGTGCAATGTGTGTATTTGTGTAATTAACGATGCATGCATTGTCTTAACAGCTAACCGTAACTTATGGCTGTACTCACCCGTAGATGGAATCCTTGTCCCGCTTGTGGACGTCGGGCACGCCCCCCGCCATGACGTGGTTGGGGACCTGCGGCGCCGACACGTGGTTGTAGGGGTGCATGGCGGGCGCATGGTTCGCCACGTGTGGCGAGTGGTGCGCGTGGGGCATGCCCTGCAGCGACCGGTGGCTGTGGGCCTCGTACAGGGACCCGCCCGCGTCCATGTATCCGTGCAGGCCCTCATCGTACTGCAAACCAACACCAAACTCGTACTGCGGCCCGTTTCTTCGGCTCACATCCGACACACTCACACACACGCACGCACGCACACACAAACACACGAGAGCTCTTCGCGAACACCGAACAGAGGACAGCCACGCCCGAGGGCGCCCGTCCGAGAGGTGCTCACCGTGCGGCCGGGAGCGCGACCCGGGGCCACAGGAGCCACGGAGCCCCGCTCCCGCTCGCACCCGAAGGGAAGGCCCCAACCCATTCATCCAATTGGCGCACAGTGAGCCCGCAGGTCGTCAAGATGAACAGAGTCGTCGTCCCGGCGTGTCATGTCAGCGTCAGCCTGTCAGGTGACGTCAGGTGTCGACGGTCAAGGTCCCGGAGTCCTATCTCGTCAATACTACCCCCCCTCCCCCCCCCCAGGCTCTGAATAGCGGCGCGGGGAGCCGAGCCGAGCCCCTGTCAGGAGAGGAGGCGATTAATCTCCGGCTATGCTAATGCTCACGGCCGCCTTACCCCCCAAAAAAACATTCCCCTCGCCCCTCCACCCGGCCAGCCCTACCCTACCCTACCTTCCGCGAGCTGGCGACACGGGTACCCGGTGATAGGTGCAGTGCCAACCCAACGAAGAGTACTCGCGCCCGGGGCGGCCGGTCAGTGGGGAGGCTCCGGCGGCAGCATGCACCGCCTAATGCACGGCTGCCGCCAATGATTAACATTCCCCCGCAGGCGGGCCGCCCCGCGCGCCGCGCGCAGCTGCATCCATGCACCAGCCATGCACCCATTGTGCACCTGTTCATTCAAATCGGCCGGGCCGCCCCAGCCAACATGGCCGCCGGAGGTACCCAGGGCTACCCAGCGATACGCAGAGGTACCCAGAGGTACCCGCCGTGGCCAGAGGGAGAGATATCCGCTCGCTCGACCAACGCAGCAAAAAATAAGTGATGGCCAGTCAATCGCGATGGCGACATCGCCTCGGGCATCATCGCTCATCTCCGTGGGTGAGTACCACAAGGCCGAGGCGCGTGGTTAGTATCAGTCATTTCGTCCAGCCCGGCGGGGCGGCCATGTCGCTGACCAGGCCGCTGCTGACCAGACGCAGGCCGGCTGGTCAAGGCGAAGGCACGGCCAAGGCCGGGGCGACACCTTTATCGGGAATAAATAACGGAGCCAACGACCGGGCGGCCGGCGGCGCGGCAGCCGGAACTATATCACTTTGGCTCTCGGTGGCGCGGCGAGGCGCGGCCCAGAGAAAGTGACATCAGATCGATATTTCATGGTCATTATTCCGCATTTATCAGTGCCAATGTTTACACTTGCGTCCGAGGAGCAATCTCGCCACTAAATCATAGAGCCAACTAGTTCCCACATAAATCGGCGCGACGTACGGCGCGGCGTCGGAGGGGCATAAATAAATATTAACGCGGCGCGCGACTCGAGGCGGGGCGTGGCGTGGCGTGGCGGGGCGGGGCGCTCCCGTCAATCCCGCCCTGTTCAGTTTCCACGGCCGGCCTGATTAGTTTGTCACCGCGGCGCCATAACTCACAGGCGCCACCGCAATGGGACGCGCCTAGGTGTGCCGGCCCGGCAGGCCCGGCCAGGGCGCCGCGTCATTTGCATCGGCGGCTGGGACACTCAGATAGCATCGGGCAGCGGGCGGCCAGCGGCGCGGCGCGGGGCGGCGCGACGCTTGATATGGTAATGTCACGGGGGGGACACTTGCGAAAGCACCCGCACCCCCCGCACCGGCAAATAACTACTGCTACACATAGGTGTTGTTTGGGCGCTCCACTAACAGAGCAGCCGGCAAAAGTCGAAACAAAACGAAAGAAGCGAAATGAAATAAAAAGGGGGGAGGGGAAAGGGGAGCCGGGCAAAGAGAGAATAAAAGAATGGATCGGTCCACGCTGCGCCGCGCCAGCCGCACGCCGCGCCAGCAGCAGCGCCGCACTGACAGGTGAGCGACGTCGCGGGCTCCATCCCCCTCAGTCGGTCAGACGTCACTCACGCCGCGGGGCCATTTACCTGACCATCCCCACGTGCCCCGAAACAAAAATAAACAGAACCGCGACCCACAAGTCGAGTAATCGCCACCACGTCCAGCGCCCCCCCCCCTCCTTTTTTCCACG